AGGGATTATACTTTCCAACTACAAGATGTATATTGGCATAATGAATGAAAAACCATGATCCTACTACATATTGCCTACAAGAGACTCACTTTACATTAAAAGATATTAATAGATTGAATTCAAGGATAGGAAAGGATATTCCATGTACATAGTGCTGAGATCTAGAGTACCAATATATTGTCAGACAAATATACTTAATGGAAAAACAGGCACTCAATATAAAGAAATATTTATAATATATAAATGCAAGGTTATACGTATTATATAACAATAAGACTCAATCCATAAATAAAATGCTTATAAATAAAACACTTATAAATAAAATAAATTGAAAATAAATCACAAGGGAAGTAAGATAGTAGTTTACACAGAATGAATACAAACATAAAGCATACTAAAACCTCAACCAAATACTGGTTACATCATTGCCAATTGCGATTTATACAAGAAATGAAAGGTTGGCCGAAGGTGTAAAATAATACATTATGCTTTGTCAATATAGGAAATGAAAGTAAGCAGGAGTTTACCTCAGTGGTTACCTAGTATGCATGAGTCCCTGGTTTTGATTCGCAACACTGTGAAAAGATAAAAGATAAAGCAAGCTTATGACCACTTTGGTAGATGCAAAATATTTGGTAAAACCTACTTTTTTCATAATAAAAAAAGTTCGACAAACTAGGAAGAGGAGGGAATTTTCTCAATCTCATAAATGTCATCTATGAAAAACTGACAGCTACCTTGACACTTAATGGTTAGAGCTTGAAAGCTTCCCACTGAAAATCGGAAACAACACAAAGATATCTCCTCTCACCACTACTACTTAATATTATACTGCATATTTAGCTAAGGCAACTAAGTAAGAAAATGATACAAAAACATTCATGAAAGTCAAAACAGTAGCAGAAGATATTTGCAAACCTATCTGCTTAAGAACTTGTATCCAAAATATCCAAAGACTCAACAGCAAAAAACTATCAACTTCACTAAAAATGGGCAAAGAGCTATAGATATATCTATATGAATAAATACTTATTTACATGTCATAAATAAGGCATAAATGATATTATAGCTTATCATTTAGGCAATTACAAATTAAAGTAATGATATAAAGCCTCAGAGCATGACTAAATTTCAAAATCCTTACAATTCCAATTTTTAGCAAGGACATTAAGTGCTTTTGGCTTGTTTAGTTGAAGCAGAAAATCCCCATTCCCATTTTGTGTTGTCCTGACTTTGTAGTCTAGAGGCCACAATTTGTTTCACATCCTGAAGCAAAAATTGCTCATCCCGAGTTGGATAAGAAGAAAAGTCAACTCCTGTCTTTCTTTTCTTTTTTCTTTTTGTGGTGCTGGGGATTGAACCTAGGGCTTTGTGCTTGTGAGGCAGGCATTCTACCAACTGAGCTATATCTCCAGCCCCTGTCTTCTTTATATTAATATTTTAGACCAAAGTTTTGAATGTTGCCAACCTGAAATGTTCGTCATCTGGTAACTGGCAGGTATTCATACCATATACATGTTTTAGTTGTTGTTCTTTCCTACAAATAGAATACATAGATTTTATATTCCAGGAGTTCTTCATATTTTTATAATCATGTCATATTTTATTTTCCATGACATTTTTGACTTGGTTTTTGATGTTTATACATAGAATATAGAGACATCCCCATGTCTGATAAATTTTAGGAATTTGTGAGATAAGTTTTAGAATTCAACTCCAACAAAACATTGATAACATTTTACTGGAAAATAAACTGTAATGTATTGTTAATTTTCTTGTACATAAAATAGTATCTGAGGTACTATGTGATGTTTCAATACATGTTTATATTGTATAATATTTAAATCGGGGTAAACATAACTGGTTCCCCAAACATTTATAATATCCTTGTGTTGAAAACGTTCAAAATTATTTCTTCTAGTTCTTTTTTAAAAATGTATAAGTACATTTTCATTATCTATAGTCACTCTATTGTGCAATAGAACAACAGAATTTATTTTTTCTAAAATTGGTTTCCATGGAAAATCTTTCTATGGATTCCCTCCTGCCAGCTACTCTTAGTTCCCAGGAACCACTCTTCTTCTCTCAACTTCTATGAGATCAGCTTTTAGATGTCACAGATTCTTATGTAATATTTCTGTTTCTTTGCCTTGGCTTGTTTCACTTAACATGCTATTCTCCAGTTCCATTAATATTGCTGCAAATGATGGGATTAAATTCTTTCT